AGTCTGCTCACTCTGGCAATGCGATTGATGGGAGCATCACTCTTACTTAATAACCTGGTGAAGAACCAGATGGTATCCAGTGGAAAACCAGCACCATGAGTTTAAAGAGCCTGCCATGGTCGCCATTGAGGAGCTCGACTAAGTCCAGGTATTGATATTCGATATGTTATCTCCAATCTCTGATCAAAAGGAGGGAATGATTTAGAAATAATATTTGGAATCATTGTTCCCTGACCATGAGCATGGAGAAATGTGACGCACCTGGGGCTGGGCCCTCACAGACTCACAAAGACACATCAACTGGGCCCTGAGATAAGACAATAGATGGGACAATCTCAAAAATTATCTTAAGGAAGTTTTCACAAAAGGGCAATAAAACCTAACCCAAAGGACTTCTCACTTTTTGTCTTTTTCTATTAACATTTAGTGAATAGGAATTTGTTGGACCAATGAAGACCCTCCTGACTTTCGTAACTGAAACCTGTACCAATGATTGTGAAGAAAGATGATTTGAAATGTAAGATTACAATTTCTAGCCAATCAGTGAAAAGGTGACGATTTCAATGATTTTACCCATTTTGTGATGTTGATATATACTGATGATTCTGTAACCTTCGGACTCGGGCAGACATGGCTGTGGCAGCATGCTTGTCCCTTTTTTCCATTCTCACCTATTCTGTAATTTTCTTTGGACTCAGGCAGACATGGCTCTAGCAGCATGCTTGTCCATTTTCACACTTTTGTCTGTTGTGTGATATTCCCTTGGACTCCGGCAGACATGGCTCTGGTAGCATGGTTGTCCGATTCCCACTTCTGCCTTTTTGAATATATGCTGAATAAAACTTCCTTTCTGCTTTAAAAAAAAATGCTGTATGGTAATGGTCAAATAACTCTAGTAGGGTTTACATATGTGCTTCTGGGAAAATACAATTGCTTGTTAGAGACTGCAAACATCCCATTTTTTATAAGGATAGTTGGTGACCCAATTCTGAATTCTGTTTCACAAAGACCAGCAACGTGAACATCATAAAGCCGTTCCTGTAGCCCACACACATTTGTAAAGTAAAAGGAAGAATGGCCCTCCTCCTCTCTTCTTCTCCCCCACATCAAATAGCAAGGTGTGGCTGTGTCTTAAAAGTTGAAAGCATTTGCTTACAAGATGTCACTTACTCTAAAACTATGTCAGCTCCTATCTCCACAGAATTTATAAAGTTAATGAGTGTTTGGTTATAATCTCAACATTTTAGCTGCAGAGAACAATCAGTATAATCCTACAGAGCAGCTGACAGGTGTGGAAATTTTCTTTTCCGTTCTTGTTACTATCAACAAAAGTTAGGGAACTCCCTGGCATTACTAATCCATATAAAGTCGAATTAGAGGCCTTCAGCTTTAGTAACACCACTCAGCAAATGTATTGGAAAATATTTAATATGTTGGAAGCTAACAACTGTATCATTATTTCTGTGCCTTATGGAATGAAAGACGTCTCCAGACATCAAACCAGGCTTCAGTAACTTGTGAAGGTGGAAGAAGGGCCAGTCTATATTATAGTAATCTAAATTACCCTTTCCATTTAATAATGTGCTACTGACATTGATAAACATGCCATTTCCATCCACAATGGTGGACTGAGAGGTCTTTAGCCTCGCCAGTTCACTGAAAAATAGTTATAAGGAACCAGTTTTTGAAACCCACTTTTTTTTTCCTTGTAAAATATAGTTCTGATTTTTTAAGTGAAGGTTTACAGAACTAGCTTCTCAGTAAACAGTACACATATTGTTTTGTGACATTGATTACCAACCCCAAGACATGTCAATACTCTTCCCTTCTCGAACTTGGGTTCCCTATTACCAGCTTTCCTGTCCCCTTCTGCCTTCTAGTCCTTGCCCCTGGACTGGTGGGCTCCCTTAGTCTCATTTTGTTTTATGGGCCTGTCTAATCTTTGGCTGAAGAGTGAACCTCAGGAGTGACTTCATTACTGAGCTAGAAGGGTGTCTGGGGGCCATACTCTTGGGGTTTCTCCAGTCTCTGTCAGGCCAGTAAGTTTGGTCTTTTTTTGTCACAATTTTGTTCTACATTTTTTCCAGCTCTGTCCAGGACCCACTATTGTGATCGTAGCCGGGCACCATCTAGTTGTACTGGAATCAGTCTGGTGGAGGCGGGGGTAGTTGTTGTCCATTAGTTCTCTGGACTAATCTTTCCCTTGTGCCTTTAGTTTTATTTTCCCTTGCTGCCGAAGTGGTGAGACCAGTGGAGTACCTTGGATGGACGCTCACAAGCTTTTAAGACCCCAGATGCTACTCACCAAAGTAGAATGTAGAACATTTTCTTTATAAACTGTTATGCTGATATCTCTTCTAAATGAAAGTAACTGTTGCAAAACCTCATTCATGCTATTATATAAATTTATGAGAAATAATGTATGTTATATTGAATTATGTGGACCTAGCTCCAAACACTTTTTAAAAAATTATTCAGTTACAAGAGGCTTTCCATAGCAGCTGTACTGTTGTCAGGCAGCTTTGGGTTGAGGAGGGAGTTCAGCCCCACCACCTCACTAGGATGTCACAGGACCCAAAGCTGACTTTTCCAAACATCATCATGAGAGGACAGACTAATAGTTGATTTCAATTAGTAACTATTTAGTGGATCCCTATGGATAACGTTCAAGTTATCTGGATATTAGAGATATTAAAAAATGTTTTTTGGTAAAAATAACACTGTTTCTGCCTACAGGGCCTCATACATATTTGGCATTCTGTAAATATTTATTGATGATGAATGCTTTTTTTTCTTATATAATCATGGTAATTTCCTCAGACCTAAATATAATTGGCCGTAAGGGAAAATATGGCCAAAGTTTTTTATAAAATTGTTTTATACTGCTGGTTCAACATGTGTAATTTTGATTGAGTAAATATGCTATTAGAACTAATAAGATGTTTGAACGTCTTCGTGTATTTTTCTTAATGTGAATTGTCATTTCAGAAATGTGCAAAATAACTTTGGACTCACTGTGTCAAAGATAAGGAATATGACAACAGCAAAAAAATATGGAGACTCTTTTTAGATGGTTTAGTTAGTAACAGACTTCAAAGAGATAGCTATTTCTGTAAGTACATTTGAAAGGCCAACATGTAGCAAGTGTTCCTTTTCACATTTAACAAAATCTAGTGATTCATTTTCAGTGTGGATGGAAGACTCAAAATCCCAATCCAGCCACTGCCAAGTTAACTGACTTAGGTACCAACATCTTGTTTCCAACTCTTCCATTCTAGGGTTTGAATCTGAAGTCATGCTTTATTTGTAGCTATGCCTCTTAGGGAGCCCTGGGAGCGCAGTGATTAAGAGGTCGGCTGCTAACCAAATGGTTGGCAGTTCAAATCCACCGGCTGCTGGGCAGTTTTACTCCATCTTATGGGGTCACTATGAGTTGGAATCGACTTGATGGCAACGGTTTTTTTTTTCTTTTTTTTTTTGATGCCTCTTAGACCCAGCATAGCCAGAGTATCTAATTCCCTGGTGCAGTGGTTAAGTGCTTGGCTGTTAACCGAAAGGTCGGCAGTTCAAATCCACCAGCTGCTCCTTGGAAACCCTATGGGGCAGTTCTACTCTGTCCTATAGGGTTGCTGAGTCAACAGCGACTTGAGGGCAACAGGTTTTTCGGTTTTGATGATTTAGATATGGGCCCCTAGCCTGAGCTGCACCAATCAGAGGCTTCCCTGAGACTCCTGCTAGAGCTATCAGGAAGTTGTATTTCTGCTGAGACTAGTGTACTGGTAGGTTGTATGTCTGGGCCTGCAGGCAGCTGTGTCTCCCCAATAGGCAGATGGAGTCACGAGTTACTTGGACCCACTATTCCTAAAGCCACCTGTACTCTGGACCTCCCAGTTATGTGAACCTATTAATGCCTGTTTTTTGTTTTAATACTAGTATGAGTTTCTGTCATTTGCAACTGAAAGAATCTTATTATTATAAGTAGAAAGAGATGTCTCATCAATGAGCTGGTCACTTTTATAAAATAAAAAAGGATCTCAACAAATGCTTCTCTGATTAAAGGAAGAAGTCATCTGCTTTTCACTTTTAAAAAGTGAAAGGCAATGGGATGAAGCCAAGCAGGGGATGGAATCTGAGTTCGGAGAAAAATAGATAATTGAGGGGCAATGTGGGGATTAAGGAATCATTTTGTGTGTATTTTTAAGAAGTGGACAAATATAAGGCCAGAAAAAAAGATGTGCACAAGCCAATACTTCTCGAACTTTAGGTCCCTTAAAAATTCCTATTATACTCAAGGTTATCAGAGGTCTTCGTAGGAGTTTGTTGAGATTTGCGGTGTACATAACCAGGAGTGCTGACAAGAAGTAAAGCTTTGAGTGCTGCTCCATCTCTTGTTGCTGTTGTTAGCTGCTTTTGAATTGGTTCTGACTCTTAGCGACAACAGAATGAAATGCCTCCCAGTCCTGTACCATCCTAATAATACTAGGTATGTTGCATCCCCTGCATCAATCCATCTCATGGAGGGTCTTCCTCTTTTTCGCAGATCCTCTACTTTACCAAGCATGATGTCCTTCTCCAGGGACTGGTCCCTCCTGATAACATGTCCAAAGGACATGAGATGAAGTCCAGCCATCCTTGCTTCTAAGGAGTGTTCTGGCTGTACTTCTTCCAAGATAGATGTGTTCGTTCTTCTAGCAGTCCATGGTATATTCAATATTCTTCACCAACACCATAATTTAAAGGCATCAATTCTTCTTCGGTCTCCCTTACTCACTGTCCAGCTTTTTGCACACATATGAGGTGACTGAAAATACCATGGCTTGGGTCAGGTGCACCTTAGTCCTCAAAGTGACATCTTTGCTTTAAAGAGGTCTTTTGCAAGCAGATCCTTCTCTTAATCATCATTAAACGGCTTTAAATTTGTTATTACCAATGAGATAAAATGTCACACTAGCTGTTAAAAAAACAAATGCATGGAATGACACCAAGAAAAATCTGCACGTCTATTTTATTTCCATTAGAAAAATATCTATTTTATAAAATTCTAGTCCGCTTTATTCTTCTTTGCCTCTGCCATTCAACTTGAATACTTTACTTTTACTCAAGTAGAAGCAGAATCACTTATCTGACATGAGAACCAAACATATTTCACATCATTAAATTAGTAGGATTTAATTAGATTAAGTGAGCTGTATTCTCAAGAAGAGTAATTTACCTTTTCTACATATTGTTTCCCTTCACTTTTATTTATTTGAGTAACTATGTAATGAGTGAACCTTCTTCCACATTCAGTGATGTGAGTGTGTGCATAAATGTAATTTGTAACATCAGCAACTGGATTCATCATCTAATCTTCAATTCATGTTCAATTCCCCCATTACAGGGAATTTTCATAAATATCTTCAGATATTTTCATCAGACTTACACTCTGAACATCAATGGTAAAAACTGAGATGTTAATTATGAGAATGCCATGCTAAACAACACCGGACCATTTATAGTAATGCTGGTGAGAGTGGTCCTTGGACAGCAACTGCTTCAATCTCAACACGGCTTCCCTGTAAGGAAAATAATGAAACAATGTTTAGATCAGTTTTTACAAACTCAGAGCGCTCCATAATACCCTACTAAAAACATGCAACAGCAAAACAGCATTATTATCATCAAACTTTTCAAAGAAGGGAAGGAGGAGGAGATGTTCACTAAAAATCTATGATGGGCCAGGTACTATGCTAGACATGTTTACCTATGTTACCTCATATGATTCTCAAAGCAGCACTCTAAGACAAGTGGCCCCCCCACCTCCCTCCAAGCTCAAAAACCAAACCCATTGCCACTGAGTCAACTCTGACTCATAGTACCCTATAGGATAGAGTAGAACTACCCCACAGAGTTTCCAAGGCTGTATTCTTTATGGAAGTAGACTGCCACGGCTTTCTCCTGGGGAGCAACTGGTGGGTTTGAACCATTGACCTTCTGGTTAGCAGCTGAGTACCTAACCACTGTGCCACCAGGGCTCCTAATCACTGAAGCTTAGAGAGATTAATTAATTCATCCCAGGTCAGAAAGCTAAATGACAGAGGTTCAAACTAATGTCTTGGGATTCTAAGCCCAGAGCTCTTTCTACTACACCCAATACTCTTCTAAGTTTGAGATACTGATCATTCCAAATAACAACCAATTAAAGGAATAAAAATACTACTCTTAGAAGATAAATTTTCTTCAGTGGAAAAGTATAAATGGAAGTCACTAAGAGCTACTTCTCTGTAAGTAGGAATATTGTGCAGCTAAGAATCACAGGAAAAGAGCTTCCAGTTAGATTAGAATATCAAAAACAAAAGAATGGTGAGAAATATGCCCCTGGTTTAGAGATTATTTCTCTAATGGAACCAAAAACTAAACCCGTTGCCATCGAGTTGATCTGGACTCATAATGACCCAACAGGACAGAGTAGAACTGTCCCACAGAGTTTCCAAGGAGTGGCTGGTGGATTCAAACTGCTGACGTTTTGGTTAGCAGCCAAGCTCTTAACCACTGCACAACCAGAGTTCTTTTCTAATGGAAGATCTGGATTTCTTATTGTATAATAGCCAAGCAAATTTATTACTGCAGACCTCACAAATCTGGCTCAAATTTATAGTCCCTAAGTAACTACAATACAGTTGCTGTTTTATATTTCCTCACAATTTAAGTACTCTGATTCTGCTATGTCCGTGTGTGTTGCCTTATAAAGTATCTTACTTTTACCCCATGCATATAATATTGGCTGTTTCATTTTAGACTTTAAGCTCCTGGAAAGCAGGAAAAACTTTTTAAAAATTGCCTTCCATAGTGCTTAGTTCATGTAGAAAATTAAAACTGCTTCCCTTAGTTCTTTTAAAGTGTACTTACTTTGGGCAAAGCAGCAACTTGGTAAGCAGCTCTAGCAGGAAAACTACTCTTGAAAACTGAATTTAAAAAAAATTTCATTTTAGTTTTCAGAAATAATTATATTGTTACTCAACACTGCATAATCAAGACTCTGGTAAGCGCTTCATAGACTATTGAGTTCTTAGATATAAGCAACATAAAAAAAGAAGCTCATATGTCAGATTTGTTTTTGCTAAAATATTTTGCCATATGATTCTTACATTTAATACTTTTCTAAATGACTTCGCTTTCTGGAAAACAAGTGAAAATATTCACATACTCTTACACTTTGATCTTGTCTGATGTGTGAAAAAATTACTAGGAGGGCTTAAAAAGCCTGAGAAGGATGTAAAAAAAGTTAAACTTTACGAAAATGGATTTGTAGAGTTATATTATTCGAGGGAATGCAATAGAAATGTCTTAGATCTTTTTTATGCAGACATACTGTATACTTCCACCAGACAATTAGCCCTTTTAAGACAAAACTATGGCAATTTCTTTAGCATCTTCTATCACTCTTAATGCATAATAGGCACTCATGATATTAACAGATTCATTTCTTTTTAAAATGGAAAATAGGAGTAAAGCCAAATTACTTACACTGTTTGTAGATTTCATTGACAGCAGTCAAGTCATTTATGTCAGCCAGCAACACAGTTGTTTTTACCACTGGAAGATATATACATCATCATTAGGTTTAGCTATTTGGTCTGATCCAAAATATTACTTAGAAAAACAGTATACAGTTCTGTGACTGTCTTGATTAATATGGGATTGAAATAAGAAGCAAAGTAGAACTAAAAGCATCATTTGCCAGATCATTAAAACAACAACTTTAAGAAGCAATGACAATATGGTATAACATATTATTGGATTCCATGTTTTCTTCAAAAAGACCAAAGAAATATCAAACAGAAATGTGAATAATAGTCAAGTAACTCACCATTAGTGTAGTCACAGCCTGCAGCTTTCAGAATTTCACCAATGTTTATAAGAGCCTGTGAACCAAGACAAGAACAGCCTAAGGCAACGATGCAATATTAACGTTTTAATTAAATTCAGTTAATCATCTTTTACTAAGCCTCCTTAAACAGCTTATGTTGCAGAAAAATTCTGCCTACTCTTTCTGGGCTGCCTCTGTGCAAATGAGTTACTCCTGGGCTTTTCTTTGATGTAATGAATCTTTCTGGAATACAGTGAGAAGCCTGTCTCCTTTTGTGAGTAAAAGAACTGGGCAAAAATCCCTTCTTCAGTGCTAAACTATATGCTGTATTCAGCCAATGTCCACTAAGCTGAAACAGAAATAATTTCTGGGGTTCCTCACTCTACATTAATTCAAGGATAAGTATGAGTTAGTAGGCATTTAAAAAATGTTTTCTATTAAAGCAGTATTTATCAGGCTCTTTTTCTAAATAAACAATATTTGTAAATGGTATGTATCTTTGACACTATGGCCTTTGGAAAAACACGTTTTTTTTTACCCTCTCCTTAACTTATATGGCAAAAAATTCAAAAGCACATGCAATGAAAGATGTCTCCCACCCTCACTCCTCCTCTCCAGTTTTCCTCCTCAGAGGCAACCACTGTTTCTAGTTTCTTCTATGGTTCCAGAGACACTCAATGCTTATACCAACATCAGTGTATATATCTTTAAGCACACAGACACACACACACAGACACACACAGACACACACACACACAGGGTGGCATACGGTGCATGCTGTTCTGCATCTTGGTTTTACCATGAGACAATTTATCTTAGACATCTTTCTATATCAATTCCGTCTAATGATTCTAGTATGATTTACTCAACCAGCTCCTTATGGGTGGACATTTAGGTTGTTTTCTATCTTTGGGTATGTCTATCTTTGGCTACTTGTTGGACAGAATTATATTCCTCATTCATATTTTAAAAATATACTGTGTGTAATCTTTGGTATTTTTCTCCCACTGACAAATGCTGACTTTTAGCTCTATGATGCTATTTTTTGGTTTTGTTTTGTTTCTGCAGGTCAGTGGCTCTGAAAAGAAAATTTCCCAGCCTGTGTGGAAGTGACAAGATGTTATCTGATTTTGACAATTTAGGTTTAAGGTCACTTTAGTCATAAAGAGGAGGAATCTCTTTTTGGTTGTTAAATGATTCATCAAATTTTCAACTCTCAACTGACGTAAAACTGTCTTAATTAAGTAGTATGTAGCTAAAACATACTTATCTGGTAATCTCTATAAAACAAATCAGTCAAATGAATTCTTAATATTCCCCTAAAATAAACAGTCGTAGGAAGGGGAAGTTCAAATGTGGAAAATGACTTACTTGTTTAGCTTCTTCTACCAGTCCTCCTGGGACAAGCTGTCCACTTGAAAGGTCCATACCTATCTGTCCCGAAATGTAAACGGTCCTGTCGATTAACACAGCTTGACTGTAACGACAGAAATTAAGTGTCAAATAAAAAATATAAAATTCAATGCCAAAAGATTTCTTAGATAGGACACAAAAACACAAACTATAAAAGAAAAAAGAAAAAAACTGATAAATTACATTTCATTAAAATTAAAAACTTTTACCAAAAGACAGCTTTAAGAAAGTAAAAAGGGAAGTCACAGATTGGGAGACAATATCTGTAAAACATGTATCTAACAAAGGGCAATGATTTGAACAGATACTAAACAAAAAAAGATATAAGAGCCAAGAACACATGAAAGATGCTCAACATTATTAGTCATTGCTGTTGTTGTTTAGTCACTAGGAAAATGAGAATCAAAACTGCAATAAAATACCACTACATACAATAAGATAGCACTGAGAATCACAAGTAAGGATGTGGAGCCACTGGAACCCTCATTCATTGCTGGTGGGAATACAAAACAGTACAGCCACTTTGGAAAACAATTTGGCAGTTTCTTAAAAATTTAAACATAAACTTAACTTACAACCCAGCAATTTTTTTCTTGTACTTCTATCCAAGAAAAATGAAAATATATGTTCATACAAAGACTTTACATGAATGTTCAGAATAGCATTATTCATGATAGCCAAAAAAAAAAAAAAAAAAATAGTGAACACCCTAAATATCTATCAACTGTTGAATGGGTTTTAAAAAAAGTGATATATCTACACAGTGGAATACTATTCAGCAATAAGAAGGAATGAACCGCTATGAATTTTATTATATATAAATTATATCTCAATCAAGCTGTAAAACAAACAAAATGCAATACCAAGAAGCACTCTAAGAAGTAAAGTAATTATTCTCAGACAAGACTGGTCACTGGTTTTTGAAGAGTCGAGTAAGTATCCACTTGTGAGGGGATAGTACTTCATTTTTGCCAAGTGCTTACTTTTGAACTGACTTTTTCTGCAATAAAGATACTAAATTTCAGAATTAGTAGAAAATTATACAAAAAAGAATAAACTGCATTGATAACCTGAAAAAAAGCCAAACAAACAACCTGAAATGAAATTTATTAGTTTTAGGATAAAGAAAGCTCCTCTGTTTTACAGATGTTGATAAAGAGAAAAGCCTTAACGTCTTTAATTTAGAAGCTTTAACGTCTGCATGCTTATTTAAAAATTTAGTGCATTCTCATTCCGATTATCTTCTTCTCGTTCTCTATATTTTCTGTTTCCTAACATGCTTTAAACTTTCCTATCTTTTATTTCATGAGGGTCTTCCTGATCTTCTCAATCACATCTTTTTTTTCCTTATAATTTAATTCTTAGAATAGGTAGACCATTCATATGGCTCAAAAATCCAGAAAAGATACAAAGAATCACAGTGAAAAGTCTCCTTCTATTTTGTTCCCCATTTGCTCACTTCCCAGCCCCTACTGAGAGACATTGCTATCATTTACATATCCTTTCAAAGTTTCTTCATGCACGTGTGAACCAAATGAGTATATTTTTTCTCTTCCCTTTTACACAAAATATGGTATATTAAACACTCTTCTACATTTCACTTTTTTCACTTAACAGTATATCATGGAGATCTTTCCATACCGTACATAGTATGCGGCCTCATTTTTTTTTTTTTAACATGCATTGTATTTCATTGTATGGATGTATTTTAATACATTTGTCACCATTGTTTCCAATAATTTGCTATAACAAACAAAACTACAATGAAACACATTATATACACACATCTCACTTCCCCTAAGTAACTAAGCTTTTCTTTCCTCTGAGTCCCAGAGGGACTCTGGTTGAAACTTTCTTATAACTATGATAACTATGTGCAGCATCTGACCTTATGTTACAGCTAGTCCTGTTCTTATTCTGGGGAGCCCCGGTGGTGCAGTTGTTATCCACCAGCTACTTCATGGGACAAAGATGTGGCAGTCTGCTCCTGTAAAGATGACAGCCTTGGAAACCCATGGGGCAGTTCTACTCTGTCTTATAGGGTCACTGTGAATAGAAATTGACTTGCTGGCAATAGGTTTTGAGTTCTTATCCTAGACTAAACTCCCTGAAGGCAGTATCTCACTATGTCTTTGCATCTGTGCAGGGCCTGGGTGATTCTTTGTACATAGAAGGCACACAGTAACTACTTGCAGATGTTTTAATTTTGGTTGTCAATAAAATATCTTTTTAGCAGGACCTTTTAGCTTATGGGGCCCTGGTGGCATAGTGGTTAAGCATTCGACTGCTAACCAAAAAGTCAGCAGTTCGAATCCACCAGCAGCTCCTTGGAAACGCTATGGGGGCATTTCTGCTCTGTCCCGTAGGGTTGCTATGAGTCAGAATTGACTTGACGGTAACGGGTTTGGTTTGCTTTTTTTTTTTAGCATATAGTGTGGGCTTGGAGAGCTGAAGAGAGGTAGATTTATCTAAACTCTTCTCAACTACTTCACCCTCTCACCCTGGCCCACAAATAGGTAACTGCTGAACTTGGTTTGTAAGTTCTTCTCAGGCTGAATAGTAACATCAGCTAACATTGACTGTTTCTATTAAATGTCCTGTGGAGAACTAGTTGTGTGTCTATATCCTTTGCAAAGTATCTTCAATTCTTCCCATATCTGCAACATAGTTTAAGTCCATAAGCATTATAATTAATTAAAAACTTTATGATAATAAAAAGGAACTCATGTATTCTCAGAATATTAAAAGTAAGCACTGGAACTCCAAGACTATCTGAGCTATGCGAAGTTTTATCTTATGATTAGTAAAAAGATTTGTTGGTTGTTGGAAGAAGTATGCAGAATTTGGTACACCAATGTTCACTGCAGCATTATTCACGACAGCTAAAGGTGAAAATAACCCAAGTGTCCATCAGCAGATGAACGGATAAACAAAATGGGTGACTCTTCAAAACATGCTAAGTGAAAGAAGCCAGACACAAAAGGACAAATATTGTAGGCTCCCACTTACATGAAGTATCTAGAACACAAAAACGCATAAAGACGAAAAGTTATATTAATGGTTACCAGGGGTTGGGGGAATAGGAGTTATTGCTTAAGGAGTATTGAGTTTCTGTTTGGGATGATGAAAACTTTTGGAAATAGGTAGTAGTGATGGTAGTACAACATAAATATAATTAATATCACTGAATTATACACTTAAAAATGGCTAAAATGGCAAATTTTTTGTTACATATAGTACCAAAAAAAAAAAAAAAAAAAAACAGTAATTGGATAGTTGGCAAACTGGCACTTCCTGAGCCTAAGAATTCTACTATCCACAGACAAACTCTTAGGCTCCAGAAAATTGAAAACTGTTTTGTTCTACACAATACAAAGGGTGATAACACCACTTTCAAAGCACCCTAGTAATTATTACATGTCATAATCTACGTCACATGGTCTATCACTTCACAAATTTATAATCAGATGCTGTGCTAGCAATGCAATAGTGATGTGATGTTGAAATCTCTCAAGGTTCTGTCCTGCAGTGTTGCTGAAATGTGCTGAGCCCGTTAGTTAATTAGTGACAACATCTCATGCATCTCAATGCCAGGAACTGAAAGTTCAACACATTTGAATTTTTTACTGGACAGGACCCAGGAATTTTAAAAAATGTGCTCACTATAAACTCCATGCACATAGCAACTAAACAGATTTCTTGTTTACAAATGGTTCTTAAAAATGTCTAATCAGTTTTATCAGGATATAACTAGTTAGTTGGAGAGTGATTTATTCTTCAACATAAAGTACTGAAAATTAGCAGCATTTCAACGGGATAATAGTTATTGAATACAGTTTTTACTGAGCACTTACTGTGTGTCGGTACTGAAGTTGATAAAGGAAATGCAAGGTTGTGTCAGAAAGTAAGTACTGGGCATAAATCTTCTCTTGTTAAATATATGCATTATAGCCATGCCAGACTCATTTATACATGCATCCATTCATTCAACAAATATATACTGAGCAACAACTTTATGTATGGCACTCTGTTAGGTACTGGGGATACCGCAGAGAAAAAGACAGACAAGACCCCTCCTCTCCTGCTTCCAAAGCATATAGTATAAGAAAAACTTCTTTATTTCCTCTCATTCAATAGCACTTCTGAAAAGTCGAAATAAATGTCCACAGGCTAGACTTTCTGGCCAGTAGAACTGTATCTAGCTACAGCGTATTAGGCAATCTTAGAAAATGATCTTCATTGTGGTTTGTATTTGATTTTATTTGTGGGAAATGAGCACAGGCAATGAATTCATAAGCATCACAACACAATTCTAGACACGCTGGAAAAAAGTGAGTACTAAGACATACATGAGGAGCCCTGGTGTGCAATGGTTAAGCACTGGGCTGCCGACCAAAAGGTTGGCAGTTGGAACCCACAGTGAGCTCAGCAGGAGAAAAGACCTGGCGATCTGATCCTGTAAAGATTATAGGCTAGGAAACCCTATGGGACAGTTCTACTCTGTCCTATAGGGTTGCTATGAGTCCGAATCGACTGGAGGGCACACAACAACAAGACTTCGTAGATGTGCAGGGATTTCTATTTGCTAAACATTGTCGTGAAATAACTCAGCTCTCTCCAGAAGAGATACCCACATTTGTCATTGATGGGATTCACTCCTTAAAATTAAAAGAGGGTGCCCCATAGGGTTTCCAAGGCTGTAAATATTTATGGAAGCAGACTGCTACATCTTTCTCCCGTGGAGCAGCTGGTGGGTTCCAACTGCAGACTTTTTGCAGCCAAGCGCTTTAACCACTGTGCCTCCAAGGCTCAGATCAAACGTTATGCTACATGAAAGAAATCACTCACAAAAGATGGCATATTTTATGATTCCATTGTTATGGATTGAATTGTGTCCCCCTAAAATGTGTGTCGAGCTGGCTAGGCCATGATTCCAGTACCGTGTGGTAGTTTTCCATTTTGTGATCTGATGTAATTTTCCTATGTGTTGTAAATCCTAACCTCTATGATGTTAAATGAGGCAGGATTACAGGCAGTTATGTGAATGAGGCAGGACACTGTCTACACGATTAGGCTGTATTTTGAGTCAATCCCTTCTGAGATTTATAAAAGAGAACCCAGCAGAGAGGAGCGAGACCTCATTCCACAAAGAAAGAAGCGCCAGGAGCGGATGTGTCCTTTGGACCCGGGGTCTCTGCCCTGAGAAGCTGCTAGAACAGGGGGAGACTGATGACAAGCACCTTCCTCCAGAGCATTCCCCTGGAGCTGGCACCCTGAATTCAGGCTTCTAACCTCCTAGACTGTGAGAGAATAAATTTCTGTTTGTTAAAGTCAGGTACTTGTGGTATTTCTGTTATAGCAGCACTGGATAACTAAGACATCCATTTATAGGAAATGTCCAGAGTAGGCAAATCCATGGAGACAGAATGCAGGCAAGTGGCTGCCAGAGGCTGGGGAAGCAGGGAACGCGAGGAGTGACTGCTAATGAGTATGGAGCTCCTTTTTTGCGGCAATGAAAATGTTCTGGAATTAGACAGTGGTGATGGTTGCACAATTTTGTAAGTATAGTAAAAATCACTGAATTGTAGACTTGAAACAGGTGAATTTTATGGTATGAGAATTACATTTCAATAAAGCTGTTAAAAATAAAAAGAAACAAGTCAGGGTTAGACTACTTCCAGAGGGAGAGTCTGGCAGCAGGCAAGTCGGGCTCGGCGCGAGGCAGACCGTAGCTGGGGCAAAGTCTCTGGGAGCGCAGGCTCCCAGTCCCACCGCGGCTTCTAGCTAGCTGCGGGTCTTCAAGTGCTGAGGCGCTCCCAACCGGCTGTGCCCGCTTCCCGAGCTCAGCTTCCTTGCGTGTTGGATGGGGCTGGCCCCGATGAATCACAAGGCCGGCTCGGGTTCTGACCCGGAGTGACCTCAGTGCGCAGCCCCCCACCTCGCACGCCTCGGATCCGCCCCCGCCCCTACAAGCCACGTTACCTGTAGGCACCAAGAGGCCCTGGGGCTTTCGCAGTGCTGATCACCTTTCGGATCAAGGACGACATGGCTAACCCCTCTGTCCAGCGGTCCCTGGAAAGAGCAAACCCCTACACCAGCCCAGCTCACTTCTCCCCAAACCAGCCCGGGGCAGGGTCTCTGTCCTAAGGCGTCGCTCGGTATTCTGGGAGTTGTAGTCCCGGTGCGACTCCAGGCCACGTGGAGGAATCGTCCGGACAGACGCATGCGCCCGCCAGCCCGCTCGCAGTGCACGTCGCTTGGGAGGGCTCTGTAGCTGATGCTTGTCGTTCTGACCCGGGGAGCCCAGGGTTCCTCTCTCAGAGCATCTGGCAGGTAGGTCCCGAGGGCTTGTGTCTGCAGGTCCCCAGGATTGGTGGGAGCATGCGCTGCCGCCCGGTCCCAGCTCCCTATCGTCTCTCCCTCTGTCCCCAATGGCCTTTTCTCTCCTCGTTGCCTGCGCCCGGGCCTCCCTTCTCAGTCCCGCCCCTCTGTCGGGCCCTGCCCTCGAGAACCAGAGTTTACCGTTTCTCCACACTGCCCCGTTGGGCGGAGGCCGCCCTAGGAATAGGCTTACACCCCCTCTCCTGCCACCCTAAAGGAATAAAGTGGGCCATCCAGGGGACCACGCTGAGTTCTGGGCGTTGATCGCCTTCCTGCCCCTGTCCGTCCCCTTTTCCTCTCCTGAGTGGTCCTCAGGCTTTACAAGGTTTCTGCACGTTTACGTTCGACCTGAACAGAGCCCTAGTGACTGGGATCTGGTTTCAAAAAGGAAGATACTGATCCTAGTCCAACTGATGGTCCCAGAGCTGGTCACTGGGCAGACATTAGTCATGCTGGTTTCAGAAAGGGTGGTACTTGGCATAAATACTTCTTATCTTGTTAATACTGTATGCGTTATAGGCATGCCACACTCATTCGTTTATGTATTGATGCATGCATTCATTCGACAAATATATATTGAGCACCTACTTTGTGCAAGGCACTCTATTAGGTGCTGGGGATACCATAGAGAAAAAGACAAGGTCCTGGTCTTCTGCTTCCTAAACAGCATGAGAAAAACCTCATTATTTCCTCTCATTTTGCCCTACCTAATGCTAAAATTTTGGCTTTCTTGCTTCCTCAGACTTTTTTCATTGGTTTAGGACTTTGGTGTGGAATTAAAAAAACCTTCCAGTCTGGCCTCCTTACCTATTCAGTCTTCTGTCTCCCCACTCTAGTCAGGCCAGCGTCCTCCTGAATTGACACAGTAGATTCCTGAATACTTCTTCCCGTCTATCCAAATTCCAACTGAAACCCTATTTTCTTGTTGACTTTTCCTACTGGCTCACACTGTTTCTTTCCCTTATCCAGTTTTCCATTGTGCTATATGTGTATGGAGCCCTGGTGGCGCAGTGCTTAAGAGTTCAGCTAAGCAAAAGGTTGGCAGTTCAAATCCACCAGCAGCTCCTTGGGAACTCTATGGGGCAGTTCTACTCTGACCTATAGGGCCACTATGAGTCAGAATCTGCTCGATGGCCACAGGACTTTATACGTGTATACTGCAAAATTTAGTATACTGTTATATACTGTCTTATTCTTTCATTGTTTTTGTGTTTAAAGAATAGTGAATGAGTATGAAAACAAATGCAAACTATGACTATTAGCAATAGATGTAAAATTCACTTGAATGGTTACAGTAAACGTTAAGATTCCTTCTGGAAACAGTTTCAGGCTAAATCCTCAGACTTTACATTCATTCTCTCCTGCTGTTAGAACTGTTTGAGGATCACTGCTAGTTCAGTCAGCTAATTTTTTAGTTTGGAACCTAAAGTTCAGAGATGTGACTTCCCAAGGTTGCCCCAAGCCCCTGGTCCCAGCCTGTCCCCAGCCCATTCTAGTGTGAGCAGAGCCAGGGCTCTCAGGGTGGTGTTCTGTCCTGCTGATGCCCTGCTGGGTAAGTTCTGATTCAAGCAGATAACAGTAGATGAAATAAATTGTTTTGTAAAGTCATTTTGAATGTTTTTTTTGTTAATTTTTATTTTGTTATTTTTGTTGAGAATATACACAGCAAAACATACCCCAGTTCAACCGTTTCTCCATCTAGAATTCAGTGACATGGATTACATTCTTTAAGTTGTGCAGCCATTCGCACCTCCTTTTCTGAGTTGTTCCTCCTCCATTAACAGAAACTCACTGTCCCCTAAGGTTCCTATCTAATCTGATTTTCAATGGTTCCTAATGAACACTGTTAGGAATTGTGTGCTTTCAGTAGCCCACTAACTGGCTTTGCAGAACCGCGGCTATATAAACTCATTGCCTTTGAGTGGATTCTGACTCATAGTGACCCTATAGGGCACAGTAGAACTGCCCCATAGAGTTTCCAAGGCTGTAATCTTTATGAAGCAGACTGCCACATCATTTGCTCTTGGAACGGCTGGTAGGTTCGAGCAGCTGACCTTTCAGTTCGCAGCTGAGTGCCCAACCACTGCACCACCAGGGCTTCAACTACTTTTACACATATTGCTTAATTTGAACAATCTTTTTAGATGTAGATATATGTATCTCTCAGTTAGATGAAAGTAGAGTGGAGTGAAAAAGTGAGATGACACAATCTCTGTTATTTCATTTATTATTTAAGAGTACTAGTTACCATCTATTGAGCACTTGTTCTGTGCAAAGCCCCATACGAAGTGCGTTATGTACATTGCCTTGTTTAATTATCACAGCAACTTTGTGATTATTCCCATTTAGAGAGGAGAAAACGGAGGGACAAAAAGACAAAGTGATTTTCCTAAGGATTACACAGCTAAAAAGTGTTAAGGAAGGTCTTTCTAACTCCAAAGCCAAATCTCTTAAACACTATACCACACAGGCTGGCTGTTCTTAATTTTTTGTGAGGTGTTTATTGGAAAAGAAGGTAAGTGAATGGGCGATAGTTAATTCACTGGCTCTCAGTGGGAGTGGTGCAGAGCCTGATGGGGCATTTTGGAAGTTTGTGTGGATGTTTTTAGTTGGAGTAACGATTGGGTGGCGCCTCTGGGTGTTGCAAATGGTTAATGCGCTCAGCTGCTAACCAAACTTTGGAGGTTCAAGTCCACCCAGAGGTGCCTTGGAAAAAAAGCCTGGTGATCTACTTCTGAAAAATCAGCCACTGAAAACCCTATGAAACCCAATTCTACTCTGACACACATGGGGTTGCCATGAGGCAGTCAACTTGATGGCAACTGGTTTGGTTAATGTTTGAGTAACACTGCTGGCAATTTTTGGACAAGAGCCAGCTATGTTAGACACTCTGCAGCGTGCAGAAATGTCCCGCAGTAGCCCACCTAACTCTGATGTAGAAGTATTAGTTGCACTGTTTTAATATACACTGAGTTTTCCAGGAATGCAATAATAAATCGGGGGGTGGCGGGAAGGTTGTACTTTTTTTTATTTGGTACTTTACCAAGAATAGTACATCAGTTTGGAAAATTATGTCACCCGTGTCATTGCCAACTTCTCTTTGAAGCTCTGGTATAACACACCTGTATTTGCCTTTAAGCTGTTGCATTCATGGTAATTCTGTGTATAGATGTAAATAAGACTAGTATTTAAATACTGAAATACTCTGAGAACAGCTTGGTAAATAGCTGCTACCCCAAGCCTCCCTATTCCCTAGTGTCCCCCCTTGCAGGACCCTTCAGACCTCCCTACAGCCAGCAATGAACGAGTTAATGACTATTGCATCCAGACTTCCAGGATCCTTCACCAACTTTATTGACTTGTGCCAATCTGGTGCTGGTGCCTGTGTTGTTTTGATTATCCCCATGGGTTCAAAATATCTCTCTTCTTCGTAATGTCATCTAGTATAGTTATGAAATATTTACGTATGGAAATACATATTATTTTATTAAAATTTTTAGTTCTTTAAATTACAGTTAGGACATATATTGTAGGGCATACATAGATAAAAGTTTTGTGCCTACCAAAAAAAAAAAAGAAGGTCAAGAAGGGAGAGTGTTGACATGTCGTGGGGTTGTTAACCAATGTCATAAAACAATATGTGTACTGACTGTTTAATGAGAAACTATT